ATCATGATCCATCATGGACCCAGACTAGTGAGCTAATCTAACTTGCATAGTTATTCCAAAAATTCCTTGATGACCAACATATCTCCTTGTATCTTTTGGTCACACCCCTATTTTCCTTTTGAAACTGTGTTGCATTGCTCTCCTCAATAAGATGTTTATAAATGGTGTGCCTTACAATGGTATGAACATCTCTCCTCTAAGGATGGATCACGACCACGTGAGTAGCTTATGGATGCCCCCGAGTATCAAAGGCAGAGTTGTCATGCCCGTTGTAACACTTCATCGATGGACCTTCTTATTGAAGGTGATGCCCCTCCCAAATGTTCTCCTTGGTGCGATAGGTGGCTCCGGTGAATCCTTCGTTGATGTCCACATCCAAGCTATCTCTTCTTGCATGGATGATATGAATTTGCGTGCTACTCTCTATACCAATCCGTGCTAAATGGACTCTTCTCTCAAAGTGTCTTACCTCAAATTACTTGATGTCTTTCCTCACCTCGGCCTCTTTCGAATCTCGAGGACGAGATTTCTCTAAGGGGGGAAGAGTTCTAAGGACCCAAAAACCATTACAATGTAGGCAATCATTTTTTACCATCCTAGTGTGCATGTCATATCCACAATTAGGATTTAACTTATGCCTAGGCCAACGCAAAACCTAGCACTGCCGGTTTTGGCGGATCGTCTGACACCAACACTGGATCGTCCATCAAGACATCTCACAGACTTAGGATAATCTTGGCCAACTTGTGCACTGACGGACTATCCACCGTCATGGTGGAGTATCCATCGAAACCCTTGCATAGCAAGTTAGTCTGTCAGACACGGTCGGGCACTGGCGGATCGTCTGACGCCTCTGGCGGACTGTCCATCAAATTCGACCGACACCTATAACATGCAAATGTTGCAGTGTCATACACACACACACCACTCGGCCCCACATGTCAGCACTCCATCACACAAAACCACCAGCAGCAGCCCACTCCCTCTCTCACTCTCATTCATTCACATTCAACCAATAGAGAAGAGAGAAAGGAGAGAACAGAAGAGAGAGCAGAAGGAAGAAGAAGAGAAGGAATAGGAGAAGGAGGAGGACGCCCTACTGATGGAGCATGTCGGCGAGCTGCTCAACCACGGCTCTGTTGACCTTGTTGGAGTTGGAGGAGGCCCCCAAGCGCAAGCCGTCATCTTCAACCTCGAGCACATGGCATCTCAAAGCTCGATCTCCTTCCTCAGGCCGTACCGAGGCAAACTATTGTAGGTAGAAGTCACCCAAGGCATGGTGAGCACATCCCCAAGTCCCCAACCATCTCCCCCAACTACCCATGGCCATACCCATGAGCTTCACCTTCATCCATGGCCACCACAACCTTGGATGTGGTCAAGCTCACCACAGCCCATGCATGTCACATCCATCACTTGTAGAAGCTTCCCTACATCACTAGAAAGCCATAGGAACAAACCGCACTCAATTCGGAGTCCGGATGCCCCGTGAATCAATCCAACATGTTTGCACAGCTACTGTTCGTCGTCTATCGGATGGTCCGTCATTTTGGCAGTGTCCATTGAATTATAGCCAAAACCCAAGAGCAGCCTGTGTTTATCGGATGTTCCGATCTTAGTTCGGAGTGTCCTATAATCTCTGCACGTGCGCACAACCTACACTTGTAAAATCCATAGAAGGTGCATTTGACCTCCAAAAATGGTGAAACGAGTTTTGTTGTGCTCCATAGAATATCCTCTATCAGCTAGATATAACTTTGACACCAAAGGGCATATCTCATTTTTTATCACCGGAGGAGGCTAAGCCCTTATAATTCATCGGAGGCTCCGCCACACGCACCGGAGTGTCCGATGAGTTATAAATCACAGACAGAGAGTTACTCGAGAGCACAAACTCCATACCGGAGAGTCCGATATTAGATCAGAGGGCCCGATGTTCCTAGTATGTCCTTTTCCCACTAAGTCCTAGAACCACCGGACTGTCCGACATTCACGCCGGACTACCCGATGACACAAACCGACAACCCTTCAATGTATACCTGAACACTCCCTCTTGCATGTTTAATATAATGTCATTCATACATAAGTATCTCATACATGGACATATATATAGGTATGTGATATCGGAGGGACGCCAAGTGATGTTCCAAGCTATGGGAACCTCGCTCTTCCAACAGGCAGGCACCCCACTATTATGAACCCTAGTTTGGATACTTATCAAGTTGCATTATGAGTTATGCATTATATGTAGAGTTGGATAATGATGTCTTTCACTCTACACCTAGAGTAGTCTAATAATCTATAGAAGCCACTCATCTAAACAATAGGAATGGGAACGCTTAATGCTTATTGCTTAGTTGCTTGGGCAATGGTAGAAGTTAAGCATGAGAAGGGAACTCATACATGCGTGTGTAGGATGTTAAACCTAGATAACTAACTACTAAAATCAATGAGGGTACAACTGGACTTACCTAACTAATCTGGTTAAGGACTAATATCCCTAATATGATAATCTTGATGATAACTTGGATATCTTGCTCATGCGAGGGGTAGGTCGTCGTGAGTGGGGGATCTTAGACGACATAGCTCGTGGAGCAGTAAGGACCATGTATTGGGATACGTAAGTCCGAGTAACCACCCGTACAGACCACATGTCGCGGATGGGGTCGACAAGCCAAGTAACTAATTACGACCTGTCTATCCATGAAACAGGCAAGGGGGATGGCGCCGGGAAGATGGTGTACATAACAAACCGAGGACCCATTACGGTATAGAAGCCTGACCCGAGGTAGGTGGAAACCTGACCCGGGCATCCGCTCGAACCTTTCATGTGATATTCGAGCCGGATTAGGGAAAGATTGGAAGGTGTGAGGCAACCCTTACTCTCGTGCACGAGGTATGGTGGTTAGTCCCATCCTTTAGTGTGGGTACAGTTGTGCACCTCTACAGAGTCTTGAAAGCCTAGAGTCCGTCGGGATGGAACCATTCGGTTGTTCTTTCTTTCTATACCCATGGTAGCATGGGTAATGGACTATGAGCACCTTTGTTATAATGATAACTACCTATACTTCTATGTTGAGCATAGCATGTCATACTCTTAATGAACATCATTGCTTTCCACACTTATACAAATGCCTGATAATCACCGTATGCATCCACCAAATACTATATGTTGGAATTAAGTCCTACGAGTACGCAATGTACTCACGGTGTTGCTGTTAAGTTGTTTTGAAGGTAAAGGACATTGGCGGCCATCTCACCCCGTCGTTGGTGGCAAGGTGGATGAATGGCATGTGCAGTCCAAGCTACGGTGGCGACGCCCATGGGCAAGCCGACCACCAGTTATTAGCTATATGAGTGACCCGTAGCGTAGTGATGTTGGTAAGAGAGTCGTTTGGTTCACACTATAATTAGTCTTACGTTGTATAATACATATATTATATTCAACAAGACTTGTAATATGTTGTTCCGTTAATTTATTATGTGCTCCGATGATAAGATGTAATCTTGAGTTGTGCATGCTATCGTGGTATGATACTCAACCTGATCCTGAAGAGGAGTTGCCAAGTGCGCTCCTGGAGGAGTCATCGAGGTTGGTTTGCTTAAATTGAGCTGGTCAAGTGGATGACACTCGTTTTAAGTGAATGAACGTGGCGGGTCCCTCAGAAAGACAGTGAAAACTGTGCATAGAATACCATTTATTTGTTACAGATATATAGAGTGAAAACATTACCTTGAGTATACTGATGATAAAGATAGAGTGGAAAAGTCAACTTGTCCCTCGCTCTATCCCTTCTCCACATGCAGATGATGCAAACATAGCAGAATATTCTGATGGACCTATATCTAAATCTCTTAACCGTTTTGCAACATATGGTACTATGACCATGGAAGCAATATAAAACTAACAGATATGTGATGCGCGCTTTCATAATGTGTGCGACTATAGCTTTGTTGGTAACTGATTCAAGATTTACTTAATTAAAATAATAACATAACAAACATAGTAACAGTTATTAGCTTGTGTACTCACTTAACGAAAACAATAAAAACATACAAGAAACATAGCCATGTAATTGAAGGCTGGACCAAACTTGGAAGCGAGGTCTACTAGAATCCCTTTATCGCACATAGTTTCAGTCTCATATGTCTGCATCTTCCATGCATAACCTCCCCCATAAGAGACTCAAAATAAAAAAGGTAGATTAAAGTAACTAGATGAGACGAATTGTTATCATGGCAAGATACAAGAAACAACGCCTAGTCACTGACACCTAGCCTTTCTTTGTCTGGACGAAATAGAACAAATTCTGTTGGCGGGATAGTGGGAAAAATGAGCTTGAGTCCCCCTCACTTTACCTCTTCTCCACATTTGGACTATGCAGACATTCTTATCTAGCATGAGAGCAACAAAAAATGGTGAATGGAACAAATATGTACAATTAACGGAGCAAAATAAAAAGGATGTCAAACAATGCTACACTACAGTGGAGGTAAAAAAAACATAGCATTGGAGCTAGTTATGAAGGAACCTATGAATACCCAACGGACATTGTCTCCATTGCTCTAGTAGATTACCAAGCCAGTGATGTAGAAAACATAACTAGCTAGTGCCACCTTACCCATTTGAACCACTAGGAACCCATATAACATAACACCAAGAGGCTGTAAAATAAGTTGAGATTTGAAGGTCACGAAAGAGGAACCATCACACAAAATCAAGAGGGTCTGGAGATAAACCCTTATCTGGGGGGCTTTTTAATCATATCTTTTAAGGCACACACTGGATGGTGGGGACCAAAAAAGGGGAAGGACGAAAATGTGTAGAGGGAGAATGACATAGGAAAGGAGATAGAGATGAGTTACCCTCACGCAAGGTAACATCCCCCTTTCTCCTATAAATGTCCCTTCCCCACACTTCTATCTCCATCACCAAATAATCCCAAATAAGCTCACTATATCTAGAGTAGAGCCCACCATTCACCCAACAGCACACATCCATGGATTTCTCTAAGCCCACAGCAAGTGAAGCCTCCGTGAAACTCTTGCCAGGGTTCAAGTTTAAACCTACCGATGAGGAGATCATGATGCGCTACCTTCGTCCTCGTGCGGTGAATGAACCAGTCCCCTCAACGTTCATTGTTGATGTGGATATCCTAAGAAGCAACCCTTGGGACCTAGTACCAGGTCATCTGCACATACACCAACCTTTCCCAACAAATACATCTATACGCTCCTTTTTAATTTCATTTTATTGCTCCTGCTACAATCTGATCTGATCTATGTATGGCTAAAAGTTCCCTGCTTGGTTGTCTTCTTTTTGTTGTTGTATGTACACAGAGGGATCTGTGGAGAAATACTTCTTTTGTCAAAGAGTACAAAGATGGCCACATGGAAACCGGTGCAATCGTGCAGCAGGTGACGGACACTGGAGGGCATCGGGTAAGGATGTGCCCATCTTTAGCAATATCATCAATGGTGGAATGCCTTCGATGGTTGGGCTAAAGAAAACACTCGTGTTCTACCTTGGCAAGGCAGCAGCTAGCTGGTGAGAACACAGAATGGGTCATGCAAGAATATAGCCTTGTTCAAGCTGGCCTCACACCATATCCTGTGATTGGGCCCAATGGAACCAATAACATAGGAGAACACAGTCGTGATGCAGTGGCAAGCACAAAGGTATATTGACTCACAATCCAAAGAATTTTGTTCTTGACTAATATTGATTGCATGTCAACTAGGAGGGGGGCTATACATGATAATTTGCATGGTTTAAGAGTGAGTCTTACAACTTGGTCCTGCAAACTTTCTTGTGTGGGAAATAGTTAGTCATCCTCGGGTAGGATTCTTTAAAGGTACAAAAATTTGATGTAAAAAGGAGTTCATTGTCGGTTTGCTTGAAAGTAAGCTTGACTAGTCTAGCCAACAAGACGTGTCGGTAACTTGTTTCTTGTGGAATTGTTGATGTAATATCCCAAGCACTGGAGCCTATTTCCTAACATGGAGTTGTTTATAGAGAACATCTAAAAACTATATGATTCAGTAATCTTCATCATTTTCACGTGTGAGAAAGGCATATAATAAAAAAGAATCATTCATGCTGTCCAATTTGGTCATTTGTAAAATTAGTAACCTAAAACATACCTTTTGCTTCCAACCCTAGCTGCTGTCCTATGTAAAGCAACATTAGTATTCACCATGTTTTACACATTTTCACCTAAAACGACATTGCATAATGAATAGTTTTGTGAACTCTCCGTAGAAAAAGGATAATCTCTCTGAAGCCGTCCGCAATGCTACTACAAGTGTGCCCAAGGTTGTTCCTGTCATGATTAATCCAGATGACTCATGGGTTGTCTGTCGCATCTACAAGAAGAAGAAGCACGCACCACGTGTCATTGCCCAGCGTTACAACATTGCACATGGAGGGCAGGTCTGCTTCTTCAACTTCCTTGGGCAGGGTAATTCTGAGGGAACTTCTAGCTCAGGCAGCCTCACCAACCTACCAATAGAGAAGGCAAAGGATAACAATGAGGATAGGGGTGGCACGAACGACAAAGTTAATTGATACAAATGAGGAAGGGAAGTAATTTATGTTGGCAGCAATAGTGCTGTAGACTGGGCAATGGCATTATGTAATAAGGTGTTGGAGCTAAACTGTAAGTGATTAACACCAATTGAGTTTCATTCAGTTATGTTTATTTCAAGTAATGTGCTGGCAGATTTTGGTCTATACAGTCTCAAATGTTGTATGTTACTAAGATAATACAATAAATATTGAAGCTGTGTTTTTCATTATTGGAAATACTTTGTTTAGTATCCTAAAGAGACATATGAAGTTCACATTGCCTTTTTGTATTATGTTTGCTAATTTTAGAAATTTTCTTTTTGTTTATCTTTGTTAAGTGTTATTTTTGTTTATAGGATCATAAAAATATACCAAGAATACTTAATTATCCTAAAGGCTTGACAAGATTAGATATAATAAAAGGACCAAGTGCAAATGAATGTAAACTCACCTCATGCCAAGTGTTCTATTTTCCATTTTAGGACATTAATTACACCAACAAAAATAACACTAATTAATCATTTCTTACCAATCTACATGTTTTCATGCTCTTGACCTCATCACCCACAGGATGCCTACTTTACTCATGGTAACCGAAACAAGCACAAAGGAGTGCCATAGAGCAGAGGGAGGAAATTGGAACTGGTGCTAAGAAAAGGGCAAAAGGACAACAATAAAAGGTAGAGAGGCGAATAGAACACCCATCCTAGTATCTTTTTGTTCCTATGTATCAATACTTTATTATAAGATATCTATACGTGTGATGTGTAAGAGTGTAGATAAAGAAAAACATGCAGGGGACAAGAGTGATGAGTCATTACACTATGTGGTGCACTACACACAAGAAAAGAAGGGAGAGACAGGGACTACCTAATCATGATTTGGCAAAACATGTGAATATGTGAATAGCCTAGAATACAAACAAAACCACCAGGCCCTGTTTTCCTCTTTTTTGGAATCGTTGTATTTCCCACGTTTTCTCGCCAGACTCCTGAGATTTCTTGGCTCCTGATTGCCACCACTTGCTGGATGAAGGTGGTGCCGGGCCGCCGGCACCAAGATTTGCCAAAGGAGCACATGAAATTTAGCAAATAAGACAGGTACGAACCCCGTGTAGATTTTCCTTTCCCCATGCATTTCTAAATTAAATAAATACAAAAATATCTTATGCTACAAAAACATGATTTAGTTTTGTGCCAAAAAAAACTTGATTTGGAGCTCGAAAAAACTTGATTTGCCCCAAAGCAATAAATCTAATGCAAACACGTGTGACATCATCATTAATGAAATAGTTCAAGGCACGCAAGAACGATCTACCCCAGTCCCTCAGTTCACCCTATCCATGAAGAATACAAAATCAAGCATCTATGCACCTGTACCACAGCCTGGCTGGAGATAACAATATTTGCTTCAATGAACATATTGCACGTCATATATTTGCTTCACTGAACATACTACCTCCCCCCACTTTTGTTTGATGTTGGATGCGTGGTCACCTGCAAATATAATGACTAAACATGCACAAAAATCATAGAACATGTATAGTAGGATGAAGAACTAGCTTCCATATTATAGCACCATTGCTGGTGTATGTGACATACTACTCAAGGCAACTGATAATAAAAGGAAATTATGAAATATTTTTGGTTGAAATTACCTAATTATGTAAAATATTTTTGCCTATTTTAAAGCCTCAAACCCATAGGTATTGTTTTGCATTAAGCATACCCATATTATTATTGCCTAATTTTTGTCCATATATACACATAAGCAAGTACAATGTCTTATCTAATTCCTGTCAATGCTAGTATTGCTACTGCCTAATGGTGTGCCAATATTACAATCTGATTGATTCTATTTTCATGTAGGGAAGGAAAAGGTGACCTTTTGCATATCAATAAGATATCTCCAAAATTTGATTGATCAATAGATATAGCCATTCCAGATTTTAGCACTTATCAACCACTGAAAACTTTGCTTTATAGCTTTACATAGTTTCCTTCTATTCTGGAAGAGGGGGGGGGGGAAAATATTGTATAATAAGATTATTTTTTAAGGGCAAAAACTATGGGGGAGATCCCCACTCAATTTTCAAATAAAGAGAGTAAACATGCTTACAAAGCAAGCTAGCTAATACCATCTAACCAATAGCAAAAGGACAACCTAATGTCTTCCTTGAAACGGATTGGCTGCAACTGCAATAAACGTTGGTTCCTGAAATTGGAGAGCCAGATATCGAAAACAAGTCTACCATTATTGAAAATTCTAAAATTTCTAAGCTTCCAGATTTCCCAGCTTGCTATCAACTTGTGATCTAGCCAGTGTTGGCTCGCAGTGGGATCCTCCTCCAACCTCACAATCGTCTGGAGTTCTCCTATGACTGGATTTCGAGGTTGAAATCCATCGGCGCTTCAGTACTCTTGTACACCACTCGTCTCCCTCCCCCCAGTCCTGTTTTTTCTCCAAGCAATGTTCCGGTATGGTGCTTCCTATTTTGTTTGATGGAGGAATCGGTTTGTCTGGCTCTCCAGTCTTGTTTGGGTGGCCGAGCCTCTGGGTTTCACATTAAATTCTTGAGCAACAACCATTTTCCAGTCTCTGTTGCCCGCGCCCCCCCCCCCCCCCAAATAAATAAAAAAGTTGGATTTCATATTTATCAACTTAGTCGTGTCGTCATTACCCTCTTTCGTTGTCTATTTCCACCTCTGGAAAAAGCTACACATCACTAGGTACGAGAAAAATATGCCTGGGACAACTGTTCTCTCCAAAAGTGCTAAGAGATTGGCAAAAGATGTCAACAAGAAAAACAAACATGTCAGATTTGCCAACAAGATTCACTATAACACAATATACTTTTGCCGACACTTTCTGTTGTAGGCAAAGGGCACCTTTGCCAACAGATAACCTCCCGCAAAAAGTTTTGCCGACAGTTTAGAAACAGTCGCGCTAGAAGCCGTCGGCAAAACTTTTGCCGACAGTTAACAGAATCCCCGACACTTTATGTGTAGGCAAATGGTCTACCTACGCCGACAGTTGAAACCTTTGCCGATAGTTAACCTTTGCCGACAGTTAAGACCTACGCCGACAGTTAAGACTTTTGCCGATAGTTTGTATGTTGGCCAAACCATTTCCAAGATATTTTACAAACCATACCCTGCCCAAAAAAAATTGTCGACAAAACTGCATAGATATAATTACAATTAAAATAATTTAACAAATCCACTTTTGCTCATATAGAAGGCATCGCATTGAACAAATTCACTTGATTTTTGTATAAATGATATATTAGATCTTTCATACATACACCAACTTTATATATATATATATATATATAGCGGCCGAGTTTTAACATGCATACAGTTGCCAGCCAAAAGATTACAGAAGCAATCCAGCACCCATCAAAACGATACTAAAAAGACTGAATTCTGACAGACATCAAAAACATCCTGAACTTCTGGGGACTGCATCTAAGTGGACACAATCCTCCTCCACCCGCCTCATGAGTCATCACCTCTAAGCTGCGTCTTCATCATGTTTAGTTACATCAGTATCTTGCACAAGGAGTTGATTCACCTGTCGCGCGGTCTGAGACGCCAAGACTTCTTTCGCCACGCGCAGCATCCTATTGGCACCTTCCACCAACTGGTCCTGATCCATTTGAGTGACCAAAATTTCATTAGCGCATATGCATGGCAGATTATCTCTAAAGGATTTTTGATCAATTTCTTTTCAAAACATGCTTTGTTCCTACTCTTCCAAATGGCCCAACAGATAGCGCCAACACCCCATGGGTGGAACTTCTTACCAAATGGCAACCACTTCTCACACCAGAACCAACATTGTTGTAAGTTACAAGGAATGTTGTTTGCACCAAAACATTTCGCTACCACCATCCAGATTACTTTGACAATATTGCACTGAAAGAATAAGTGGTCAACAGTTTCAACACATTCACAGAACACACATGTATAGACATAGAGAATGCAGCCAATTCGTGAGCATCAAGGTCTTTAACAAGGGTAGGCTCATCAAACTGAATCCATGAAGCACCAGCTGCCTTCAGTTCAAAAACAACCTCCCTGTATTTCATAACATATCACATTATCAATTAACGAGGATCATGCTGAAAAAAATTGTTGGCTTTTTGTGTGGATGCTTACTTGTAGATGGGAAGAATGCTACCAAGAAGTGAAAGAAGAGAGAAAGATTTCTCCACACCCTTGGCAGGCTTAGAGAGGAGCAAGTATGAGACTGGTCCAACAAGCACCGGGACTGTATCAATGCCGAGCTGCATGAGGTGCAAAATCATAAGTTTGCAGGCATTATTTTCATAAAAGAAAATAGCATGCCCCTTCCTTTACAGGGTGAAAACCACAAACATATAAGAAAAAAAACACTGCAGGGCATCCTATCATATTGCCATTATGCAACGTTGAATGAGAAAATAGTTTTGTGGCGGTTATGTATTACTGTCAAGATGGCAAAATCACTATGCTCCAAGATGGCAAAATCAGTACGCAAAGATAACAGTAGACATATGTTACAATTATCTGCCAAAAGGAGTAGCAACCATCAACCAATTTATTAGTTTGTCCTTGAAATCCGCATTCCACTCCTTGACGAAAAGCCACCCAACCCTAAATGGTGAAGATGTCAGCAACAACACCAAATGGTATTGTAATAAAAACAAATGTTGCATCAGCCAAACACACAAGTATCGACTACTTGTCATGCACTTTCACCAAAGGACCTAAAAGAACAACTTCATGGTCTGATACACAAAACACATCATAATTATAGAAGTAAATTAAATAAACTAAGGGAGGAAGAGGTTGTCTTACGATCAAGCTAGGCAAGTCAACTTTCTCTGCCTCATTAAGCGTGGATCAAAGCGACCAATCCACGTAACGTATACCTTTATGAAAGCAACTTTTGTTAATGTTCTTAACATATAAATTTGGAACTTTACAGAAATCCTCAGAAACATACCCACCATGTGC